GGCGGCGCTGCGGCCCTTCGCCTGCGGCGAGTGCGGCAAGGGCTTCGTGCGCCGCTCGCACCTGGCCAACCACCAGCGCATCCACACGGGCGAGAAGCCGCACGGCTGCGGTGAGTGCGGTAAGCGCTTCAGCTGGCGCTCGGACCTGGTGAAGCACCAGCGCGTGCACACGGGCGAAAAGCCCTACATGTGCTCCGAGTGCGGCGAGACCTTCAGCGTCAGCTCGCACCTCTTCACGCACAAGCGCACGCACTCGGGCGAGCGGCCCTACGTGTGCCGTGAGTGCGGCAAGGGCTTCGGGCGCAACTCGCACCTGGTGAACCACCTGCGCGTGCACACGGGCGAGAAGCCCTTCCGCTGCGGCCAGTGCGAGAAGCGCTTCAGCGACTTCTCGACGCTCACGCAGCACCAGCGCACGCACACGGGCGAGAAGCCCTACACGTGCATCGAGTGCGGCAAGAGCTTCATCCAGAGCTCGCACCTGATCCGCCACCGTCGCATCCACACCGGCAACAAGCCGCACAAGTGCGCGGGCTGTGGCAAGGGCTTCCGCTACAAAACGCACCTGGCGCAGCACCAGAAGCTGCACCTGTGCTAGGGCTGGGCCGCGTGTGGGGGGGACACACTGCCGTCGGGGAGCATGTGGGGAGTAGCCGTTCTGGGGATAGACCGCGTAGGAAGAAATGGGAAGGGGCGGGAGGGACAATCCGAGAGTGACCAGGGAGTCTTTTGGTGTTAGGGGGTCTTGATGGGGAGGGTTGAGTCAGCGTTGTTCTTTTGGGGTGTCATATTTTGCCTGCCTCCTCCCCAGCGAGGACATGTTTGGGAGATGTGCTTGAGCTATTCCTTCTTCAAATACACACAGTAGGGGGCGGGGGAAGAGCAGGCACTTTGAGGACCTTGAAGAAGGGGAGTTAGGGGAGTAGGGGAGTGAACGGGATGTCAGGCAATAGAGTAGGTTGGGCTGTGAGGGCCGGTGGGAATCGGGAGAGGGTGTGGGGTTAAAGAGAGGGTTATGGGGTAAAATAAAAGGCGGGTATGAATAATTCTATCCTGGTCTCTCCAGGTGTTAAGCCACTGTTTTGCCCTGTCCCCCCACATCAGCTATAGTCTCATGAAAAGTAGAGGAACCTTGTCGATCCTATAGGAGAGGATATTTTGTATATTCTTCCCTTCCTTTCTCTGAGCCACAGTTAGCTGCTATTTTGAGGCATCCAGGGGAAACTGGGCAGGAAAGCTTACACACTGATTTCAAGGACAAAATCGACGTTTGGGAATTCGTCATAACTGGCTTTAAGATCACCTGGGAAATCTTGGTCCTGCCCCTGGTTCTTTGCTACTTCCTTTAAAGTAGTCTAGCTTCATGCTGGGTCAGGGTGGTCTATGTGGTTGTCAGGTGTTAGGTGTGTGCCGAGCCCGGTATTTCAGGTCTCACTTGTGCAGGGAAATGAAACAGTCCCAGCTGTGTGTGACTTTCCCTTTCCCAGGTCAGCATGATGCTTGTTTGAAGTGAATATCAGATCAGCAACAGTTGCCCCAGTGACCTACTACAAAAGTCATCTAGCTCAGAGTTTTGCTAGCCTTATGTGAGAAATCCAGGAGAGCAAATGTGCACATGTTGGGGTACAAGGCTTCTTTGTCTCATTTGCCTTCACTCTGTATCCAATGCCCCCCTTCCCCTTGGTAGTAATGGGGGAGATAATTGAACAGCCACCTCCATCCATATTGATATGGGCTTTTGATCTGAGTAGAAATATCTTTTATCAACACAGGGAGGCACAGCAGAAAGCTCAAGGCTTTACACAAGGAAGGCACAAGCAGGGAGAGGTCTAAGTGCAAAATTGCCAAATAGCACAAGCAATGAATGTTTTCTGGTTGTTATATAAATGCCAAAATAGCACTTTTATATTTGTAAAGTGCTTTACGCTTTTTAATGATTGTTAGTTGTTTCTCACATCTTTGTGAGGTAGATCAGTATTATGACCCCTGTCGTAGGGAAGACCTGGGGATAGGAGTACAGCAGGCTGTTCGGAAGAGAGACTGATGACCGTGGGGATAGGCATGGTCTGACCTTTTGTGTTCTCCAGCTCAGCTGCTAGAGAGACTTCCTGTCATGATTTATATAATAAAATCAAGACACTGAAAATTCTTACGCTCTGTGGAAAACTTAAGGCTAGTCTAGAAGGGCCAAAGATGTCCTTGTTGACAAAGCTGGTCTTTGTCACATAATTAGGGTGTCTTAGGTTTGTTCTGTTTCTAGTAGGGGGATGTAGTTAGATGACTCTTGTACAGATTCCAGTTACCTATGCTGAAAATCCGTCCCCTAGGTTCGCCTTTAGAAGTTAGAGCTGTGGAAAGCAATCCTGTTTTCTTCACCAGTGATTGTTAGTTGCCCTGTACTTTTCATGGAAGCATCTTCACAAACTGTTGGACACACTTGAAGGAAAAGAAGAAAAACTGCAAGATTGTTTTTACAGTTTTAGCAGACTTTCTGTGGATGCTGGTAATTTATACTTGATCAGTTGTATTTTAGCAAAGAACCTCTTCGGGGACTGTAGGGAAGCATGTTTCTGTTCTTATAAAAACACCTTCTAAAAAAAAAATCCTGAGAATTCTGGGCTTGTATAATGCCTGTTGATCTTGCCCTCTTAATCAGTTTGTTGTTATTTACAAATGCAAATACATTTTCAAAAGATAATTTTGCAAGACACTAATTCTTTATTTTCTTTTAGTTGAGTAATATGAACAAAGTATTTGTCCATTATTTATTCTGACTCTTTACTCTGAATACTAAGTGTATGGGACTCCTTTGAAAATAATATAGCCAGTTTGTAGGTAATCTTACTCCTTTGTGTGTTTTTTTATGCACATCTACCTCTTCCAGCCATTTTAAGTTCTCTCAAGTCTGTGCCTATGAAGTCTCATGCAACTTTTGATTATTCATGGATTGATTATCCACTTTTATGGGTTATTTGGCCTTTTGCTGCCGTTGTACTCTGTTGTACAGTCTCGTCTGCATCAGCTATGTTAACGTATGGGCAGCTTTCAAGAAAGAATTCAACAGGGAAATGAGATTGAAGCTAATATAAAAGAATTTGGTGGCAGTGGAAATGTTTGGATTTCATTGACCTCTCTTCTTTCAAGTACCATGGATAAGAGAGTCAGCTACCACTTCAGTATCCCTTTGATGAGCAAATCCCTCAGCAGAAGAAAACAGCCCAACCACCAAGACCCCTACTCTCATGGTGCACTTAAAATGTGATTCCATTTTTCTTACAATTCTTCAGGGAACATAGCTGCATTAAGTGAATTTAAATGCAGTCAGGAGGTTGTTTCTTGTATTCTAGTTCGAGAATAATAGTTTTTCTTCAGCAAACCCCATTAACTGTGGTTCACCCTTAAAAATGTTAATTTGAAGATTCCTTCCATCAGCTCATTCATGACGGTGGAGGCAAGTGTATCATTTGTTTCCTGGGGAGTTTGGTCAAGTTCAGGCTACTCTTTCCTTAGCAAAAGCTGGAGCAGTTTCGTCAGCTTAAATGGCTTGATTCAATCTTGAGCTCTGAGTTGGAAAGAGAAGATGAGAAGTTAACCCCTTGAGCCATGTCGTTTCTTCAGGATCAAGAGGCTGTACATATGTGAAAAAGTACAGATGAAGAACCTGTGTTCATAGACAATCTGAACTGTTTCTGAAGTTTGTGCACATTTTCCTTCACTGTAATGTTATTTTACAGCTGTTTGTTAAAATAGTGAATAATTTAATGATCCTAAAAGTAACAGGTTTTGTGTGAGTGTGTGCTTGTATATGTGAGAATTGCCTTATTTTCAGGTTGTTTTATTTAATGATGGTTCCTTGGACAGCGTTCTGGTGTTCAGCAACCAATATGGAATATTTGTCATTAAATCCATATCAGTCTTTTTCCATGCCATTCTTTCTTGTCATCCATTAAATATCACCGAGATCAGTAAATGGAAGCTTATTGTCTAATAGAACAGGGGTCAGCCAACTACCGAATCTAGCCTGCCTCTCTTTGCAAGTAAAATGTTTTGGATTATAGTCCTGTGCATACAGCCTTGCTTACGTTTTGTCTGTGTCTGCTTTTGCTCGATAACAGCAAGGCTGAGTCTTTGTGACAGAGGCTTCATGGCCCGCAGTCCTAAAATGTTTACTCTCTGGATCTTTACAGACAAAGGTTGCTGACTCCTTTGTTGGAATGTTCAGGTGGATCCTACATCATCCTGGAACTGGCTGATGTCTACATACTCTGCCCATTTTTAACCAGTAATTCAGCGGGGGCACTTCTGTACTCTTGTGGCTTTGGGAGGTTGGTAAATGTGTTAATGCTATGCCACTGGCATCGATTTCTTCATTCCTTATAGGAACCAATATGTGGGACACATTGACAGCAGGTGGCGGGGAGTGGGGCAGGGGAGTCGATATGGGGAAGGGAGGCAGTCTTAGGTCTCACCTCTAATCTATTAAAAAAAATGTATTCTTGAATCACATCACAAAGTATTTTCTTTCCCTCAGCTCTCAGAATTGTAACTTAATGGCTACTGATAATGCTGAATGGAACTTATCAGTTAGACTGGCCTTTTACTTAAAATATTTTTTAACTGGTTTGTGCCCAACCTCAGGGAAACAGAGAGACAGCAGTTTATAAGCAGTTTATAAGTCCAAGAAATAGAAAAGACAAAGCGTGAAAAGCACTTTATTTTCTTGTAATGATCACAACCACCACCTTGTGTGAATGTCTGCCAGCCCTTTTCTGCCTGGCAGGACCAGTGAATGCTGGGTCCTGGTTGTGGAAAGAGCCACTCCATTCTGGGATTGCAACATTTCTCCCTAAACCTGACTATTCGGGTTTGAAGCAGCCACAAGTCTAGCTCCTGGTCCCTAGGAAGACTACTAAATCAAGTATTTGAAGTATTTGTTTGGGGCTCTATGGGGACATAGCCATGAACCTGGACTTTGGGGCTATGCCACGAAGGGATGCTGAGCCTGAACTTGCTGTTAGAGCAGGACTCTGTGTTCCAGGTGGAGAGGATGTATCTGGTCAACTTGGAATTCTTCGGGCTGAACTGGTTTGAGATCAAGATTTCGTTAATTTAACAGTAACTACATAGTAGAATTACCTGGAGAGCTTTAAGAACCAACAACCCCTTCCCCCTCCAAGCCCCCCCCCCCTCCCCAGGGCGCCTGGGTGGCTCAGTCGGTTAAGCGTCTAAATCTTGATTTCAGCTCAGGTCATGATCTCAGGGTGGTGAGATCGAGCCCCACGGTCGGTACCACGCTGGGAGTGGAGACCGCATAAGATTCTCTCTCCCTCTCCCTCTGCCCCTAAACAACAACAAAAAAACCGACAGCAACCAAATAATTGTTCCAGACATTGGTTGGTTGGTCTGGGGTGAAGTCCAAGTACCTGTAATTTTATGTAGGCCTCTTAGGCAACTTTTATGTGTAACTGGGATTGAGAAGTCTATAGGACCAATCAGGCACCTTCTTTCTTTCTTGGGGATTGCATTAAGTGAAAGGAATAAGCCTCACATCCTCTCCTCTCCCTAGGGGTATAGAGACAAAGGGCATTGTCAGATGCAGCAGGCTTTGCTGTCTGTCCACTCCTGCTAGGCCGCCTTTTCACGTACACCTTCCCCACGTAGATCATAAGTAAGGGCCAGGAGAAGGGCCTGTTTTTGCTGTTCATCAGATAATGCCAGGTGGGCGTCATAGGCTGCTGCTGGCCTGCCTTTGTCTGCCAATCACAGACTGCCTGCCTTCCCTTCTTTCTGATCTTCATTCCGTCTCAGCTCACTTAACAAAGCAAAATTCCATGCATTACTCCTTTTCTGAGCTGCCCTTGGCAATAGAGTTGTTTTCTGAATTTTGCTGCTGGAGGGAAAGGGGAGGAGCTCACCCATCAGGTCTCCAGCTTGAACACACTAGCGTTAGGCTCCTCTCTTTCCTGGCCAGAGCCTCAAGTGTCTGCAGGTTACAGTTCCCTGCTGCCCGCCTATGTTTCAAGGTCACCTCTGCTCACCCAAAGCCCATTCCCATGGTTTTCAGTTTCCAGCTGCCCCAGGGGGATCCAGGCGACTGTTCCCAGACTTGTCTGCATCCCCCTGGTGACCTGCCTCATCGCTATAGATGCTTAGCTCCAGAAACCAAAGAGTTGGGTGGCAAGGTGTTTCAGGTACCAAGCTGGCCTCCACACATCTATATTTGAAGGGGTTTCATGCTAAGTGAAAGGACTGAATGGTCCCAGGCTTCACCCGTTGCTGGAAACTGGGGACTCCCTGGAAGTGGTTTGAGGTCATTTAATCACAGAAGGGGCTCCCCTGAGATGTCTTCCCTGACCCACGAGGGCTGGAGTGGTTCTTCTGCAGAGATGTTCCCAGAATGTCCTGGACACATTTCCTGCATATGGGCGGCCTCCTTGGGCCCCTGAGGCTGTGGCTCATTAAGAGCAGAGACCCGGAGAGGCTCACTCCATAAGCACGCCGAGTGCCCCTGTGCTGGGGGTGCTTGATGCTGGGGGTATAGGTATGAGAGAGAGAGAGACGCTCACATGTTCTAATGCTCCAGAACAGGGAAGGGGAAGGCTGTTTTTGTTCTCTGCCTAACATCAAATCCAGCTTCCCAGTGGTGAATTATTTTGCAAACCGGAAGTGTGACTTTTGGGATTTGGCCCCTGGTGGAGGAAGGAAGAACTCCCTAATACCAAGGCATCAGGTGTTAATGCCGGGGCAAGATGGGGCCTCCAGCAAAGGCGCAGGGTAAAGCAGACTCTCGGCTGAGGACATATGCCAGGGTCACTGCTGCAGCAAATTGGGCAGTGTCCATTTTATCTGGCTTTGGCGGGTGGGGGAAAGAGGCAGTGACCTGCAGGGGTTAATGAAGCAAGGGACCGCTAAGGGACCTGGCTAGACCCTTCTGTCAGGTCTAGTGTTCAAAGATGCCTGAGTAAAGCCGGGACTTTGATACACAAGGACCACCCCCAGGCTTCCACTGAAGCGGATCTACTGCTCTCTGGGTTAATGTTAGTGGACACAGTAAGGGTCATGGACATGACTTCACAGCCGGAAGGCTGCTGCCCTGAGGGAGCTACTGCCTAACGTTGCCACAGCCTAGGCTGGGCCCCACAGGGGGACTTGATCTTGTCCTTGTCTGTCCAGAGGAAAGATGCAGGTGTGAGGTGTGGGGAGAAGAGCAAACAAAACCACAAACGTGAAGCTTCCAGAAGGTTTAGGGGCTGTGCAAATGTTAGGAAACAAAACAGTCTCAGCGCGGTTGTCTCGTATCCTAGCTCCTGGGGGCCTAGAAGAAGGAGGAAAGAGGTTGCTTGTATGCAGGACTGCATCCTCTCAGATTTCCAGCTCCTGAGGAAGTGCTGGTGATGGGGGGAGGGATGAGGGTACGGGAGACCGTGGCCTTCCCTCCTTTCCTGGGGACAGAGGAGAATAGAGGAACCGGTCCTGCCGTCCTTTGAGGGAGGAGTGCGGGACAGAGTTCTGGCCTTCACTGGCTGTGCTCTTGAGCAAGGCTCTGATTCCTCTGGGCCTGTTTTCCTCTTCAAGTGACACTATCTCTATGGACTCTCCCCACTCTAGCGTCAGAGAGCTTAAAACTTGGGAAACATCCATAGCTCAACGCAAGAATGCCACGAAAGCTTGTCTAAGTCTGCGTTGGGTTCTGGGGCTCAGCTGTTCCCTGACTATGGAGGAGGGAGGGAGCTCTCCAGTGGGCCCCTGCTCTGTCCGGCCTTGGTCGTCCACAATCGGGAGGGGTATGGTGCCCTGTACAGATGGGAGCCAGACGCCAGGTGCGACCACTTACCATTCCGGTGTCATTGGGATGGACCATAGAAATGGGCCACAACCGTCATTTTGCAGTAAGGAAACAGACCCAGGAGAGTAAAGAGAGTTGAGTAACTTTGAAAAGAGCCAAATTGAAAGAGAACAAGGTGAAAGAAGCAACGTGAAAGAAAGTGAACAAGATGTTCACTCTTGTTTGCAGAAATGGAAGCTTCCAAAGAGAGAATAGTCTCTTCTCTTTTGCCCCCGTCTTCGCCCTTCCCCAGTCCTCCCTTGCCCTGGCTACTTTTGTTCCTGTCCCAGCGAGCACCTGCATGTCTCTGTTCCTGCAAGACTGGCAATCCATGAGCTGGGTTGGGCTGCGTGGGCTCCACAGAAGGATCTGGTGTGCTGGTTAAGCCTGCCCTCTGCCCGCTTTCCAAATATTCTCTCTTATCCCTATTTCTTTTTCTTTAACAAATATATTGGGAGGGCAGACTCCTGGCTCTGTGCCTTCTTGGCCTCCAGGAGGCTGTGCCTCTCCTACCCATTCTGAGCACTGTGCTCTCAGGCCAAACGAGGTCACCAGTCCAGGTGGGTATAGAGTCTAGACTTGTCTTGTTTAGGGGAACTCATACTTGGACAACCTTCACTCCACTCCCTACAATCCCGTTTATTCTGGTCCAGAGTCTTGTCTTTTCTTATCTTTCCTTTCCTTTTCTCTTCTTTTCTCTTTTTTAAAGATTATTTATTTTAGAGAGACAGAGAGCAGGGGAAGGGGCAGAAGGAGAGGGAGAGAGGATCCCAAGCAGACTCCACACTGAGCATGGAGCCGGATGCAGGGCTCGATCCCAGGACCCTGAGCTCATGACCTGAGCCAAAATCAAGAACCGGTCGCTTAACCAACTGAGCCACCCAGGTGTTTCCAGAATCTCTTTCTTTAGGAACATCATCTTCCTTCCTTCACTCCTTATGTATTGACTGAGTGCTCGCTCTGGGCCAGACACAGGTGGGAATACAGCTGTGTGCAGGTCGTCAGCACAGGGTCCTCGTGGTGCCTTCCAGAGTCCACAGTCTAGTTAGGGAGACAGACAAGTTAATAAGCAATCACCTAGACTGTGACAAGTGCCTAGTGGAGAGACACGCTTCACCCCTCCCTGGAAGACTGGAGACTCTCCA